AAGCTCGTAACCGCACAAAAGAAGAGCATCGAGTAAACAAGGGAAAAGACTAACCCGAAGGGGGTGACTCGAGCGGGAACGCGGCAAAGCAGAAACAATACAACGAAACGAGATATGAAAAATCAGAGGGGATTTAACAGGGCGCTGCTTTAAAAACCGCGTATCAAATAAAGAGCTAATGAAAGGCGTGCTCCGTCTTCCAACCAGCGAGTTCCAGCGGGCAACTCTTAAAACTCCTCCGGTCTGTATTAAAACGCCGAATGGTCCACCACCGCACGCGATATCGCGCGGCATTTCTATTCAAAATGGGAAACTCTTCTTCTCAACTCTGGGACGCAGGGCTGGCCACATCCAACTTTCGCTTGACAACGATAATTCATAACTTTTTGCAACCTAACATCCGTACTTCTTTCGCCTCCTTCGTCGCTACGGTACTTTTAAACACTTCCACGAAAGGCCGAGATAAAACACGCGAATTTTAACTACGTCATCCGTTCTCAGTTTCAAATGTCCTGACGTATTCGAAACGACCAAGTCACTCGTTACGATATATCGAATAAGTAGACTAGTTGAAAATTTAATCTTAAAAAGCATCTTTTTAAGATTAAATCCATCATTGTTTCATTGAAGTTTGAATGTTGGGGATTAAAACTGACAAAAATTCATGTCTAATTGCAAGAAGAAAAAAAGAGGACCACAACGAAGGTTCCAAGGAAGAAATCGAAAAAAAAAAAGAAAATGAACAGAGGGCGTTAGAAAGTATCGTCGAGCCGGAAGACAAGTGGAAAGAAATACGAAAGAGTAACGAATGGACAGAGTGAAAAGTCAAACGATCTCCGTCAGAGACGCGGACCGCCCGAAAACTGTGCGAACGAGAAATGTTCCAATCGACGCGACGGTGTCAGAAACTTTCTACCAGAGAGGAATATACGAAGCCGAACGTCGACGAAGTTTTATCCGCGGACGAAGGAACAGCGTCGGCGAATCACCCCGGGAAACGTCAGCTTGGAACAAATATGAATGAAAAAGATCCAAGGGACAGGATCACAGGGCAAGAGTTGGGATCATAATGGACCATCGACGAAGAAGCTTCAAGGTGAAAGAACATCGGCGACGGAGTTGAACGAGTTGAACGCTCGAACGGGCAAATTAGCGAGAAGAAACAACCGAGTGAAGGACCGCGAGATTGTCGAAGTCGTCCCGTGGAAATGGATGACTTGAGTGTGGCCGAGTCGAAAGAGACACGCGGGACTCACCTTCCGAGGGTGGAGAGGTGAATTTCGAGAAAGGAAACTAGGAGGCCAGGTAGAAAGGAACATTGGACCAATTCCAGAGCACTCGACGAAGGAAGGAAGGAAGGAAGGAAGGAAGGAAGAAAGTGACTGAAAAGTGAAGGGAGAAACGTGAATCTATGTTCAAGGAGGAGAGCTGGTTCCTTCAACACGGAGCTTCCAAAGAGTTCAACGAGCAACAACGAGGAAAAAAGAGGGGAGATAAGAGGAGAAAGAGTTGGAAGAAGATGGACCAAAGGTGCAGGTTCGCATTCGGCAGCCATATCAGGCCACGTGATCCGAATAAAACCGGCTACTCGAGTTTTCCTTCGGCTAGACGTGAGAATTAGAGTCCCGGTAAAGCGTCAAACGACGGGCTCGGGGATCAGTGCCTGATGCTTCGCGGCTTTCGCATGTAGCCGGCGAACAGTCGAAAGGGCACGTTTTCTATCTTTTCCATAGACAGAGGAGAGGGAGAGAGAATATTTCCGATAAACGTCGACAAAAACGATCCGTGCCGAGTCCACTCGCTATTTCGAGAATTCCGGCTATCTCTGTCGTCGATGGAATTTGAAAGATTTTACTCAGTTCGCTGCGAGCGGGATACGCTTGGAAAACGGAGTATAAACGCGATAAACCTCGGTTGTTCAACTCCATAATTAACGCGCCTCTCTCTAAATATCTGTGCCCTCTATTAAGTAAAGCTGACGTTCGATCGCGATACGGCGCGTTATAACGTTGTATTTCATCTTTGGAGCACCGACAAAGCCACCTTTGTGGCCTTGATTAAGTGTATTAATTAATAATCGTTTGGAGTATATAGTCAAATACGTAAGTAAAAGCATAGTATATTCGCTTCGACGTCGTACAATTTTCGACTCGATCATTTCTTTGCATCTTTCACAATAAAATTGAACGAACATTTGTTACGAAAGTGTCGAAAACGAAAAACTTATTTAAAAGTATATTATTTATAGAGTTTGCGTAAATGTGCTTTAAATTTTAATGACAGATAAAATCACTTCGGTGGCTCCGTGCGAACCTTTATGTTCTACATTCTATACACAAATATATACAATACGTGAAAAAGAAAGACATTGTTATAAACGTCGGTCTTCCGAACGTAACAATTTCAAGCGAAAAATTACTATCGAGCTTCGTCCCGTGGGGTTTGAGTATTTCATTAAAAATCCGAGAGAGCCGCGAGTTTTATGATTCAGTCAAATAACTGGCGAGCAAAGTGGCTCCGGTATTGTTCTCGCAATAGGATAACTGGATGTTGAGACGAAATGAAACTTCACCTTTTCCTCCGAGGATATAAAATATCAAAGCAGCAATCGCTATCGAGTGTCGCTGCATAAGCCATTCGCGCAAGCCAATATCTCGAATCTTTCCATTTCTTAAATTTGAATTGCTCGTTTATTTCTGCAAGCACGGTTTTATTTCTACGAATGGACTTGTTGTCTTTGCTATTCTACTCGACTGTCGTAATTCGACTGAAAATCTCGAAGTGCAAAAATACGTACAATATAAGACAAAGGCATATATAAAATACCCAAAGTATAATACCAACAATTTTCTATCGAGATTCTATTTTTTTCCAATCTTGACTGGAAATCATCATTGAGTCAGTATTCTTATTCACATCGAATTTTTAATCAGACTGAGTGACTACAATTTTAATTCTTATTGAATTTTATCAATAACTCTTGTCAAGAGGAGTGTAAAATAACATAATTCCAAACAAATATTCCAAATGTTAGTAATCATCTCCAATACTATTTGAGGGTTAATTGCATTCTTCAAACATGTGTGAATTTAAACATAAATTAGTCGACAGTTTAGTCCACTGGAGAATTTTTTTCCCCTCGGTTAAAAAACGACGAGAAAAAAAAAAATTCAACACAATTTTTCAGTTGTTAGCTCTCCTTCCATCTTATTAATTTCCAAGCCGCGCATCGAGAGTATTCGAATCAAAGTTTGCACTTCTAAATAACGTCTATCTGACGAACGAGAGAGTTCGCGAACTAGAGA